AATATATCCGAAAATGCCTCTAAATATGAAAGATTAAGGTTTATCGCATGAAAAGTTCTATTCAATCTCAAAATCTTGATCTTATCTTTCGGGAAGGATGAATTAGAATCTTCTAGAAGATTTTAGCTGCCATGGGTTTAGGAATATGAGCATTGCGTTGTACTAAAAGGTGGGCCTAGGCTCAGTTTTATATTTTGGCCATTCGGTTTAAGTCGGATTTGGGCTTATAATATATATTGTTGGAATGCTTTTTTCGAGCCCCATCCATCCAAACAATTATTGAACTGAGAAAACGGACCAAAATACTGGGTTTTGGACGTTTACTATGATTTGGGTATGAAAGGGATATTTTTTATTTTGTTTTGGCTAAAAGGCACGAAATGAATATTTTTGGATTTAAGGACACGAAATGGATCTTTTTGGATTTAAAGATATTTTGGGTAAGGTTAGAAAGATGGTCCAGGCTTAAGGAAACTTTGCGCGACCTTTTGACTCTTTGCCGAACTCGTCAATGAAAATCGTGAAAGACATTCATCACTGGGTTTGGTGTTGGGGAGGCACAGTCAGGTATCTATAGTGGGCTTTGTGGGTAATTTGAACGGATTTGCATATCATACAAAAAGAAACCACAAAAATATAGGCTTCCTTCCGGTCCAACAACACCAATCCGTAAAAGACTGAGCCTTTCTTAGCCCGTATGCATATACCTTCTTAGTTCATCAAGCACATTAGTTGAAGATTGAAGATATGAAGTTGACTCAAAAATATAAGATAAAAAATCAAAGACCATCTTAAAAGGTTCTAGTATGAACTCTTCCTCTTCCTACTTTTGTGGCATGTATTCCACAATATTCCATTTTCAGTAATGGAGGTGAGTTTTTGAGCATCGAAATTGAAATCAGGGCATATTGATATATAACCCTCATACACTCTCTTATGGGCCGTTTAATTCGCACGGGGTAAACGGAATGGAGTGAACAAAGAGAATGGAAAAGAATAGAATGAAAATACGTTATATTCTTTATGTTGTTTGTTTTAAAAACAAAGGGAAATAATCCCACCACCACACAACCACCACAAAACCACCAATTAATTCACTTTCCACCTTTTCCAGCCACTATCCATCCACCAAACCATTCGCCACACCTCCCTAACCACTCGCCAACCTTCGCCGGCCCTCCACTGCCCCTCGCCGGCAGCCACGCAGCTCTCCCCTCCCTCGAAAAACATCCCTCAGCCCCGAAAAATCCTAGAAACATCCCTCCCCCGAAAACATCCCTCACTCCCCGTAAAACCCGTCGTCCGGCCCTCCCCCACCCTCGAAACCCTAGCGCCTAGGGTTTCGAGGGTGGGGGAGGGTCGGCCGGCCGTTTAACAGTGAGGGGGAGGGTTATGCGTGGGTGAGGGAATGATTTTGAGGTGAGAGGAGGGGCGGCGAGGTTCTGGTGAGGGGCGGCGAGGGTCGGGGGATGGCGGAGATATTCCGGTGAGGGGCGGCAACGTTCCGGTGAGAAGTGGGTGAGGGCGGATAATGTGGGTACGGTGGTGGTTGGGGAAAGGGAATGGGAAAGGCTAGGGGGGTGGGGAATGGGAGTAGAAGGTTTTTGGGTAATCAAAGGGGAAAGGGAATGATAGAAATGGAAAAAAAAAAAAAACAACAACAGAGGGAATGATTCCCATTCCCTTTCCCCACTACAGCGAACCAAACGACCCCTTAGTGTATTCCACCCCAAACTCTAATGGGTGTCTTGCACTCTCGACAGCACGAAAGCTCATACCACTACATTCAATCTTAATTTCTTCATCACCTCGTACTAAATACCAAATATAAGAGCATCATTCTTTGCCCCATAAAATCAGCGGATTAGATCCAACGAATCCCCTTCTCTTTCACCAATTCCTTTAAAAGAGGAAGAGTTGCAGTGGTATCATCAGACTTTGATCTGTGTTATTTAATAAGAAAAGGTATATGATGTGATAACAACTATATAGACTTTATGTATATGTATATGACATAAAACACCAACACAAGTTGGTTCAAGTAGTAAGCAATGTGATGTCGCTTAAAGGAGGGAGACTCACCCACCATAAGCCAGGTGTAAGACTCGGATCAGATTTGGATGTATTATTTAATTAACTACTTTTTTGGTTCGTACAACGTACAAGCTTATTTTTGGTATTATTTAGTTATAGTTTTTGTAGTATTAAGCGTAATCTATATTTCTAAACGAACACATGGTTGAGTATCGTTTGATAGTTATTTTGTGAGCAATATTTATTTTCCCTCGCGTACAATTGATCTATTCAGAAGACAAATAGTATTTCTAAAAGTAGTTTATGTTTCTTGTTTTGTGCAAACTAATTGATGGGATAGAATCATAGAAGTCATAGAACACAATTAGACAATTAAGACATACTATTAAAACAATGTTCAAGACGTGTTTAAGGTATCTTGACATTGAACATATAGAATGAAAATGAAGTAATTAGTAATTTTGGCATCCATCTTCACTTGATATTTTTTTTTTTTGCCCTTCCATCTTTCATATAAGAATAATAAAGGAAATTTTGTCAACAGCTACCAATTTAAGTCTTTGTTTTGAAAACAACTAGCACTACCACTCTTAAATTTCCGGCAAGAATCTCCGGTGAGTGGGTCCCACTTTCTTCCTTTCCCTCCAATTTGACCATCCGAATTTACCTAATTACCCCTCTTTTATTCCAGACCCAACTACCTTCCCTTCTCTTCATTGAATTCCCGCCTAACTCCCCTATACTCTCCCTCATCTCCATTTTCAACAACCTTTGAAATTCATAGAGAATATTCTCACCACACACTTTAATTTAGCTTAGGTCATTGAATTTGCCTCACTATTCCTCACGTTTTCTCTCTCTGTCGCGGTGGTCCAAACTTTCAACCAAATTGGAGTTGTCGTTTCTACTTTGGGAAAGCTGGATGGAGAAGGGGAAGATGGTGACAGTTGCTGAAGGACAAATTCCACCTGCAAATACATGGATAACAACCAATTAATAAACCCTAATGTCGATAAATCCATTCAATTTACCCAAAACGCAAAAAATTGCGAAACCCTAATTTCCCCAACTTCCCCAATTTCCCCAATTTCGAGTCATTAAGAACCCTAATTAGCATATAAAATTCTCAAATTACCTGATGAAATTATCTAGAAATTATTCCTCTTGCTCAATTGTTGAAAAAAGGAAGAAATTTGGAGAAAAAAAATAGGAAATTTTGTTCAATTGGAAAACGAACATTAACTGTTATATAGAGAGGAGAGAGAAACAAAATTGGAGGGAAAGGGATAAAGTGGGACCCACTCACCGTAGATTCTTGCCGGAAATGTAAGAGTGGTAGTGCTACTTTAACTTTTTACAAGTTTGTGGTAGTTGTTTTAAAAAAATAAAAATTTAAAAGTAGTTGTTTTCAAAACAGAGACTTAATTTGGTAGTTGTTGACAAAATTTCCACACTAACCGAAAATCTGTATCAAAACAATAACCAATCAAACCAATTAGTACCAAGAAAGGCACAAATAAGAAAAAGCTGAACCAAGGTCACCAAATCAATAACAAAGAAAGAATTTGAAGAGGGTATCTCCAATAATGATCACTCTTAAGTAACCTAAAATAATTATAAATGGAACTTTCTCAATCCTCTATCTTACTACTAAACTCTACATGCACATAATCTTCCAATATTAATCACAATTTTATCTTAGCCAATCTTCCACTAAACTCTTAAGTAGGTACTCCGTATATAAACATAATAATTAGTACTAATTAGCTCGCTCATCGTATATCTTATCAAATTTTAGCAAAATACTTCTAAAATAATATTTCCAATCACAATCACAATTTCAATCCCCAATAATATTACAGCTTAATTAGGTTCAAGATACCAAACTTAAGCTACAATAATCAGAATACTTATCAAGAATGTTTCCTTAGCCAAAGAGCTTTACCTCTAGCAAGCACCTTCACATCAACCGCACTACACAAACATACAATAATTTCCCACAATTAGTAATTGGGGTTTCAAGTAAAAATTATTCATGATTTGAGGTAATTTCATGTATTTTTGAATTTATAAGAAAAAAAATAAGATAATAATTACTCACCAAATATGAATTTGAATATGCATGTGAATTTGATGGAGATATTTTCTGTTAAATTAAGGCCATGTTCACTTCACCTTAAAAAAAATAATATTAAGTAAAAATAAGGTGAATTGAAGGGGCCTAAATAGAGTTAGAATTGCGTTGAGAATCGATCACATGATTCCCTAAAAACGGGAGGGAAGGTCTAACCACTTGAATCATCCCTCACTCTTAGAAGCCAAGAAGTTCAACACAGACTTTATCATGGACTAGAATTGTAATTTGTAGAAGTGTACTAATTTTATGGATAATGGTTAATAACAGTATTGTAATATCTAATCTAATTTGATTGTTAATCAAATTGTATAATACAAAATTTAATCCAATAAAATTTTTAAGTACAAGATAAAGCTAAGGTGAACGAACAGGAAGTTCTATCTATCTATATTCTATATGATAATATATTATAGATAATAGAATTATTAAAATATTTTTAAGAAAAAATAAATAAATAGCATAGTGATTACTGATTAGTGGAACACAATATACTATTACCCAAAAAAAAAATCAAATTCTATTAACAATATACGAAGTACATTCCTAATTAAACCAGTTTCCATATAAAAAGTTTTAATCACTAAAATTAAACCATACGTATTAAAAAATTTAATAGATATAATAATTTCTTTCATTCTTAAATTAAATTAAATATTTATGAGATATAATAATTACTTTCTTAAATTGTTTAAAGAGGCTTTTATTGGATTATTATCGATTAATTATGGACTTATGGTACAAGAAATTGAAAACTTTAGTATATTGTAGAAGATAATCAAAATAAATTTATGGATATATATACATGAACCAAATCCTAAATCAAAACGGATTAGGATTGAATAACCAATAAACATCCATACTACTTGATTGCTTATAAATACCCCTTCATAAATCACAAATTCATCAATCCTCACCCTAATCTTCAATTCCCTCTTTTTAGCTAAACTGTCATAGCCAAATTTGAAGACTAATTCATCATTCATAGCTAAACAATGGCAAGAACACCTTCAATCGTGTCGTTCGGAGAGATGTTGATTGATTTTGTACCGGATGAAGCCGGTGTTTCGTTGGGTGAATCTCGTGGATTCATCAAGGCTCCTGGTGGTGCACCTGCTAACGTTGCATGCGCCATCACTAAGCTCGGTGGTACCTCGGCCTTCGTAGGAAAGGTAATATAATTCCCTCACCCTTTTACCTTCGATCATAACTCTTAAACTTTTTGCAACCTTATTAGCGATAACATTATTCGCCTCTTAATCCTTTCTTTTTTTCTTACCTTAAAAAAAAAAAAAAATTTACGATAACATTATTATTCCGAATTGAATTAGTTGATTGCTAGTAACACAATAAACAAACTATTTATCGACCATTAAATTAATATTATTCTAGCTTCGTAAATATTTTTGAAACCTAGTGCTGGAGAAAGATTAATCTTTCTTTCTTTTTTTTTTTTTTATATTTTATTTTAATTAAGAATGTTGATAAATTATTGTATAGATCCCGTAATTTTTTTGTATGTATATTTTAAATTAAGGCTCAATTAAAGATTAAAATATTATTTGATTAATTGATTATATGTTTGTAAAATATTGTGTCGATTCGCTTGATCAGTGAAAAACCCTAATTGTACGTGTACATGTATTATATTCTCCTAAGTGTTAAATTCACTTAATTCGCGAAAATTTCTTAAATTGATTTCATGTTTCATTTATCTAATTGTGTTATAGGTTGGGGATGACGAGTTTGGTAAGATGCTCGTGGACATACTCGATAAAAACGGTGTAAACACCGAAGGAGTGTGTTTCGATAAGGTTGCTAGGACTGCCCTAGCATTCGTTACATTGAAAAAAAACGGTGAAAGGGAATTCATGTTTTACAGGAACCCTAGTGCAGATATGCTCTTAGAATCATCGGAGCTACCTCTTGACCTAATCAAGCAAGCCAAAGTGTTTCACTATGGCTCGATAAGCTTGATCACTGAGCCTTGTAGGTCAGCTCATATCGCGGCTATGAAAGCTGCTAAAGAGGCAGGGGCTCTCCTTTCGTATGACCCTAATTTGAGAGTACTTCTTTGGCCTTCCCCTGAGGCTGCTAAGGAGGGTATTATGAGTATTTGGAAAGAGGCTGATATCATTAAGGTTCGTTTGTGGTCTTTTATGATAATAATCTTAATTTTAATTGAAGTTGAAGTCTTAACTAATGTTTTGATTGTTATAATTAAAATCTAAATTGTTTTTTGTTTGAATTAGGTGAGTGATGAAGAGGTTGAATTCTTAACCGGTGGAGATGCTAGTGATGACGAAGTGGTGAACAAATTGTGGTTTGACGGCCTCAAGCTCCTCCTCGTTACATACGGAGAGAAGGGTTGTAGATACTACACCAAGGTAATACTTGTTCATATGTTATACTCCCTTCGTCCCTTAATTAGATGCCTATTTCTAGCATTTATTACTACCATAAATCAAAGTATAAAACTTTTGGCTAAGGAAACTGATTATTGGATGAAATTTGAATAATTTGCAGGATTTTAAAGGATCATTGAAGGGTTATTCGGTATATACCGTTGATACAACAGGAGCAGGAGATGCATTTGTTGGTTCTTTTCTCTATTCGCTTGCTAAGGATTATTCAATTTTGAAGGTAACATTAACAATTTTCAATCTTCGATTTCTCCTATATCATTGCTCTTTGTACCATTACTAATTTATCTTCATATATTAATGAATATGATGAATTGAAAGTTCTCTAACATATTTGTTTAGATATCTTTTGGTTCTATTTTTATGTTGTCAATTAATTAATTAATTTTTATAACAATATTGAACAGGATGAAGATAAGCTAAAGGAAGCATTAACCCTGGCAAACGCTTGTGGAGCTCTTTGCACGACCCAGAAGGGTGCCATCCCCGGTCTTCCAAGTTTACCTGCTGCACTTGAGCTGATCAAACAAGGAAATTGATCCAAATTCTATTTTTAATAACAATGTGCTCATATGAATAAGACTAGTTTTAGTGTTTTGTTTAAGTCCGAACAAGTGTTTTATATTTTGAAAGGCTAGACAATGAAGATCCTTTCTATGCTTATTTATTTCTCGCATTTGTCTTTTACACACAATCTCATGATTTTCATTGTTATTTAAGAGTCTAAAAAAATAGAGTACACGAAGTTAATTAGTATGTTGCATAAGCTTGCAACAACAAAATCGATTATCAATGTGTATGTTTCCTGATCAAAGTTTTAAAGTAAGATGCCTTTTTTTAGATAAAATTAAGGCGACATCATAATTTATCCGATGTATAGTTACTTTTGCCATATCAAAGGGGAAACACAATCCATAATTTACCTTATTACGAGTATTTTATTTGGGTAAGATGAGTTTTCTTACAAATAGCATGAAGATCTTACTCGTTTGGGGTGAGAACTGAACCCCTCCTACCGGGATGGAAGGAGGGCCAACGCCATACGGCCTAACTTTTATTGATAGCAAAGCAATAATCTGATAATTAACCAAAAAAAGAAGCAATAATATGATGCTAAAACATCCTCAAGAGTAACAACCAACCCAAAATCTAGTGGATGATTTGGTGTACAATTCTTAATGGATGATTTTACAAACCTTTACATGATGTACAAACTTTATTCACAAGAACAAAACATATTTACTCACTTTTTTTTTTTTTCCTTTGGTGATGATTTTATTAATTTCTCAAATTAACACATTTATTACTACTTCGTAATTTCGTATACATTACCAAATCAACATTAACCAATAATCATACAAAGAAATATAAAAATATTAAAACAAAAAATAAAAAAATAAAATTACTTGAACCCTTTTTTCCCTTGCTTTCTAACATGATTGTGCAAAAATCCAATCCCCTTAAAAGCCTTAGAAAATTTCATCCCCATACTTAAATTCATCTTCCCAGCAGACAACTTCAAAGCTTGTAAACAACAAAATTTACCATTATCTTCATAATAATCATCTTCATCTTCATTAATCATCATTAAATCCTCCATTTTTTCTTCCTTCTTCTTTCCTTTTTTAGTAACCTCTTCAACCTTATTAGGTTTATTAATCTTGTTTAACAACTCTGTTTCATAAGTTTCCCATAACAAATCCATACCTTCTTCGCCTCCTCCGCCATTAACAGCTGCTTGATTACTGCTCCCATTATGCCTTTCTTCGAAGATTTTACATGCCAAAGTTCTCCTCCATTCTTTTTCTTTCCTCATAGACCCAAAACTCCCCATATAAGGTTGCCCACCAAGTGTTTGTGAAAATGTCTCAGTGATTTTTTTCTCATCATCAACCTTAAATGACCTGCTTTTTGGTGTTTTAATTGCCTCGGATCCTATTTTTGACTCAACTTTTTTCAATTCTTCTTCTTTTTTAACCTTTTTGGGGTTTGTGCCAGCTTTTTCTCTCCCCATAGTCAAACTTTCACACAAATCCCCTGTTTCTTTTCCCACAATTGAAGCATTTTCCTCGAAAAATTCAACTACGTATTCTTGAATCTTCTCAATTTTTTCTGGGGTTTGTTGAATTTGTTCAATCTCAACTGGTTTTTCTTCAATTGTGGGAATATCGAAGACAACCTTGTAAACTTCAAACTCTTCAATGTGGGTTGCATTCTCATCTTCATCCTCTGAATTTGGCCGTAAATTCTCTGAAATTGAGTTATAAGCTGTAAGAAGTAAACCTTCTTTAGAATTGATGATTGATTTGAGTGGAATAATAGTAGTGAAGAGTGACAGAAGAAGAAGAGAAGTGGTGAAGAACAGAGGAGATAGAAAAGATAAGAGTTTGAAGAGGTAAGGGGAGAAGAAGATTAAGTAAGAGAAATAGAGTGGGTGAGATAGAATAAAAGAGCAAAAATTAGTGAATTTAGAAGCATTCTTCTTGGTTTTTGTGGTAGATTTGGTGTTTTGAAAGCAAAGTTCTGTCATTGTTGTTGAATTTGGAGAATGTTTGAAAAACAGAGGAATTGAAGAATATGGTGCAAATGAAGGTTTTGGGATTGATTTTTTTGTTTAGTTGTGACTGTGTTTTGATGGATTGGTCATTGAGAGAAGAAGAACAAGATGATGGGAGTTGACAGAGAAGTGAGAATTGTTGGCGTGAATAAAGGAGAGAGAGTGGAGAGAGTGAAGCTAACTAACTGATTGGAAAAAGTGGATGATTGTTATACTCGGTCCATAGTGGATTACTTTATCCATATTATAATCAGTATATCGATTTGACTTTATGCACTATTTATATACGAATATTAGCTTTAACTTGATTTTGTTTTCATAAGTACTTAGTACGAACGTATATTTAAAGTCTTAAGTAACTTAACCAAAGTAATGCACTTATTTAAGTACAGAGGCAAGTAGATTAGTACTCCATAGCTATTAAGTATTAATTAATAATTTTGGTTTGTTTGTATTTGTAATTACCGCATCACATCAATTTTCTTTCTTCCTTTTTTTTGGGCAAATTATATCTTCTTGTAGCTGGAATCTTTGAAGAATTACAGTGTGATGATCTAGATAAATGAAAATAAATAAATTAAACAATAGTTGGTGAAAAGGTTAAAAGAAATGTATGTAAGGCAGTAAGGGTATGTTAAGATTGTTAACATCGTCATAGGGGTAATGTTTTTGTCATCTAATGTTTGAAAGGGAAATCTGTGTTATTAACTTGTTAGTCCTTTAAAAATTTAATAAGTGTTATTCAATTATTCTAAATGAGTAAATCTTCATCACTTTATCCTATCATTTTGACCTCTTCTTGTATTAAGGAAGCCAATGCGACAATCTAATTTTACGACCTATAATGCACATATTGCTCCACATGTATCTCGACTTCTCTAGTATGGAATAATTTAATTCGAATAGATCGAGCTTTAGCTAGGTCATCTAAAGGGTAAAATAAAAACAAATTTAAAAGCTTTCAATTCCATAAAGCTCAATATATATATTCGTTTCGTTGCAATAGTAATAAGTAGCTTAGCATGGTGAATGTATGTGTGTTACATGTCTTGTAATTTTAAAATAGTGGCATTTATCGTTTTCTTACCTCAAAATAATGATGAATAATTATCTCGGTGATTGAGTTGGAGAAATCACATTATAATACTTATCTCATTAATTACTACCCCAATAATCCATTATAAGAAACCCAAAACCGGAAATTGAAACTAGGAGATGATTTATTTTGGATCAAAATCATTCTCTCTGGCAGTTCATCATAATAAAGCCTGAACACCAGCTGCTCGACCACATGTTCTAACTTGAATACCAACATAAGCTACATAACTAACCATGAGTGATAACTCAAAACAATCAACTTTCTGACACTTCTTGGATAAATGCTTTGGGCATTCCATAAGTTATAAATACCATCTTCATCATATCCCAAGACCAAAACCACATTGACTACTCCTTATGACTTCTTATATGTCTATATAACTATGCTGAAGTAAGTTTACGACTTTGGCTTTGGTTTTCTTGTTGCTTGTATTTAAGCTAGACAAGAGAGAAAATTTTAAATGAAGTCACATCTTGCAATCAATAAATAATTATCCATATTTCAATCTCTTCTAATATACGTAGTAGTATAGTCTTATTATTGATGATAACTTTTCTTCCCGTTTAAATATATATACTACCTCCGTTAATTATTATGTGCAACTTTGGGGCATTATTTGTGAGACATAATATATTCCGAAGTTGCACATAATATTTAACTAGATAATATATATATATATATATATTATTTTTTCTCTGTGAAGCACGTATTGTAAACATTTAAGTTCCATCCACAAACACATAAAATTTTCTCAATATTGACATTGACATAATGCATCAGATTACTACTTTTTTTTCTAGTGCTGTTAAATTGAGTCTACACATGTTAATGTAAAGGATAATCAAATTATTATTAGTTATTGTGAAAATTGTGATCCCTTGATTTACTCTTTAAATTGATAGTTAAAGATATCACTAACTCTTAGCTAATGTATCTACACAAATGTATCTAGTCATATTTTATTGCTTACTCATGCACTATATGTCTATATATACTCTTGTATACTCATCAATATAATTAAGCTTTCCAACATTCTCTTTCTCATAATTCTATCCGTTAATTCTTTAAGAAACTTCGTTTAAAGGGTTTTTAATTAATTTTAATTATTTAAATAAAAGATACATGGTTCTTATAAGTATCCCCTATTAATTAATCTTATTTTATGTAATAGTTCGTGCTATTGATTTTGACACTGTCTTACTGATTGATAATGTCATTTTTGGTTTTCTAATTTAACTCTTTGAAAATATTATATATTTGTATATATGCTTACGATTATAGTTTTAGCTAGGTTGGATTATTCAATTGAACATAGCCTTAATTTGTAATTTTAAGATGAAAAGAATATGTGGTAAAGCATATGGTGGTTACCGAAATGCCACAATTAGGGGTAATAATCATGACTTTATCTCAATCAACCACCATCTAAGCCCTGGCCATCGGGGTTTTGGTTTTTAAATAGTGAATCCACATGAATTTAGTAATCATATACTTGTCGACAAAGTTTTTTTTTTTACTTCATAATTTACATAATATTACATACTACTCCCTATATATAAGATTATAAATTGTACAATGAAATTCATATGAGTTCAAATAAGGGGTAATATGTAATAATGTGATTAAAACGAATCATAAGACCATTTCCAAGTTCAGATTAGTTCAGTAAATTTTAATACACTTATAGTACTTTTTTTTTAATTATTTTATTTTATATATATATATATATATATATATATATATATATATATATATATATATATATATATATATATATATATAAGGAGAATGACCTACCACAAATTAGAAAAACGCCAATTACATGGGTCAACTCTAAAGAGCAGAGGGGTGAGTAAGGAATCCCCCAAGCATGAAATTATTTGAGTATTTTATGTATGGGTATGGTCAATGAACTATGAATTATGAAAGTCTTAATTGACCATGTAAAAACTAAACAAATAAATCAATAAAGCTTTGTTGTAATGAATTCTTTTTAAAATTTAGAAAATTTTAGAAAATAACATCACAGAAAAACAAATTTTGATTATAACACCAAAAAAAAAAAAAAAAAAAAAAAACCTTTTATTATAACACCACAAAAAAAACTCACAAATTTGATTTCACTACCACTTAACGGATTTTTGGATGGAATCTGTTAATGGAGCCCATAATTTGACACGTGTCAATAGCTTATAGGTTTAAAAAAAATGAATTAATAAAAAGAAAAAAAATAAAAAAAAATGAAAATCCCTTAACCCAGCTAGCCCCACCACCGGCGCCACCTTGCCTTAGCCGCCGACACCGTAACCCAGGCCGCCGACACCCATCTCCCCCGCCAAAACCGGCGAAACCACCCCACGCCGCCGAATTTTGCCTTCCCCTTCCCCGAAAACCACCCACGTCGCCGAAATCCTCTCCTACACCAACCCAAAAACCGCCCACATCGCCGAAATCCTCTCCCACACAACCCAAAAACCACCCACGTCGCCGAAATCCTCTCCCACACCATCATCGTCGCCGAAATCCTTTCCCCTACCCAAAGCAATGGTCGAAACCCCAACCCAAAACCGCCCTCACCTAAACCCTAACCCGTTTCCAGAAACCGAATTAAATCGGGGCTAAGGCTGAGCAGGGTACGACGTTTAAGGGTTAAGGTGGTGCATCATTCAGGTGGTCGGCTGGGGGAACCAGCAACGACGGTGGGCAAGGGGAACCGACGCAAGTGGTGAGTGCGGTGGCTAGGTTAGGATTTTAGGGTTTTTCATTTTTATTTTTTTTTGTTTTTCTTTTTTTTCTCGTTTTTTTTTAATCCAATATATAACTGACACGTATACTATGTGGGGTCCACTAACGGTTTTTGGATGGCGTTAGTAAGTGGTGGTGAAATCAAATTTTTTGGTTTTTTTGTGATGTTATAATAATCAAAATTTGTGTTTTTTTTGTGGTGTTATTTTCTAAAATTTCCTAAAATCTATTCATTAAATTAGGTCCAAAATTTATGTAAAGAAATTAAAAATTGTGCAACCACTACGTTTCACATCCTGCCTATGTAACTTAATCATGGAGATCGTTGAGTTGTCTAATGCTTCGTTTCATATAAAAGGAGTCATGTCCGACAAGATGTTAATCAAAGTGTACTCTATTTTTTATACCACATTTTCCTTGGTAGTATTTGCAAATGATTTGAATAAATAAGAGGATAATCGAACTTGAAACAAGTTATAATGTTGAAAATAATGTACTTTAGTTATTGTGAGACATACAATCCCGTACCCTTAATGACAAATTGACAACAGCATAACAAAAAATAATGATTATATGAGACTCAAAGTTGGGATTGTTGTGTATTAATCCATTATTATGATTAATAATAAACTTAATATTGTTTCAGATCATCCTTAATTTTAAATGAAATATGTGTCATTTAATGATATTCAGTATTAAGAACTAATTTAATATAAGAAGATCTTACTGGATTAATTAATAACCTATAAAATGTGATCAATTAATCTCTTACGACATACGCCGCTGTACAAAATTGTAAATCATGTTGCCTCATTAAAGGTTTATTTATTTATAGTTTTGATGTATAGTTTCGTGCTATTTATAGATTAATCAGAGTCACTTAAGAATCTATTTTTTTTTTGGTAAGAGTCATTGATTCAAGCTTTACACTAAACATTTAGCTAATAACAACCTTGTAAAATTACCTTTTTCTTGTTCGTTGTAGCAAGATAATTTCGCCATTTGTTATTTAACTAATTAACTAGCTACCACTTAAAACACTTTGTATGTGTTACACAACTTACACCCCAAAATAAATCCGTATCAAAGAATTGAATGCACTTGCATTAATAGCTTAACTTATTGAAAGCCAAAGGAAAGTAAAGATAGATCATCATAAAAGAAGAGTTACAAAGATGAGATGACTAACAAACAACTTTAGGGTTATTAATAGAGTAGAGGGTGGATGAAAATGATGGAAGGATTTG